CGCCTTGGACATCGATCCCATGAATGCTGCGGGGAGTTTGTATCCTGTTCCCACTTAATGAGACGCCGGCCTGCTTGCCAAAGCTGGGCCCTGACTCAGCACTTAGGATTTCCTCAGCGGTTCAGCCCTGTGGGGGGGGGGCGGGGGGCGCAGATAAAGAACCCCCAGACTCAAGCATCAGTAAGGATGAGTGTGTCCCAGTCTAGGCCACCTAGGCGCGGGTGTCTGAGGAATGTGAAATTGAGCCTGTGCCCTGGAGGGTACGCAGTCTAACGGTGGAGATGGGTCCCTTGCACTGAAAACCGGGTAGGGCCGGTTTCAGGGCCTATAAAGGTAGCAGACACTCGGTTCCACCGCGGGGGCACAAGGGCTGCAGGAGTCCCTCGGAAGAGGAGAGGAGGGAGGGCCGTGGTCTGGGCTGGTGCCCTAGCAGGGTAGGAGAGGGTAGAGGGGCACCCCGGGCATGAAATGGGAGCAAAGGGCCGGAGGAGCCTGAGCGCTCCCCCACTTCCTCACTGGAGGCAGGTGGTACCTCCTCAGGGGTCCTGACCCCGCCCCCAGCTTCCCCGCTCCCTGCATCTGTCCTCAGCTGTCCTTACAGACTGCGGGCCCTTTGCGGGCACGACTGTCTTTGCCATTTCCAGACCCTGGTTGGAGCCTAATAAATGTTTGTCGGTGAAATGAAGAATCGCGCCTGAGCACGTTGTACGCTCGCACTATGTTGTTACCGTCGCGTTGCCAGTAGGGTGGGTACGAGAACCGACATCCGTGTCTGTTCTTTGAGCGACCAGAATTCCAGGAACCCAGGAACTTCTGCAGCGAGGTAGTGCTCACCCGGGATGAGAAGAGGACGCATTCTCTCCCTCGATCGTCCCCTTTCACCCCTAGAAGGGACGGAGGGCGGAGGGGACGAGGGGGCGGCCTCCGGAGGGTCCGGGACGCGCGCAGCACCCGCAGGCGCGCTCTAGAGCCACCTGCTGCTCCCGGGGGCTGAGTGGTCGGTGCTGAGGACGGCAGCTCGGGGCCCTGCCCCTTGGAAGGTGTGGGTCCTCAGGCACGTGAGCAAAGCCCTCCGGGCCCCGGCGTTCTCGCTGAAAGCCGACTTTTCTACGGCGCAGGATCGCGTGAGGAAGCCATGTGTTTGCACTTGCGAGGCCCTCCCGTGGGGGCCTGGCCCCTCCTCGGCCGCCAGGGGGCGCTCGCAGGCACGACGGCTCCCCTTCGCCCTCACCGGCCCGGCTCTGCGGCCAAGGGTGCTAGCCCCGCCTCACAACCGGGAGCTGACACTTGGAGACGTGGGCGCTTCTTGGGCCGCGCTCTGCCTGACTTCAGAGCCACCGCATCCGGCCGGCTGCTGGCGGGAGCAGGGAGTGGAAGGAGCGAGAACGTTCTGATAGGGCTGCCGCGGGCTGGACCGACCTTCCCGGCTCCTCCATTCAGCCCCCAGCGTCAGGGCCGCTGCTCCCGGGCCGCCTCCCCCTGGCTCCCCGCCGCCTCGCGCCCCACGGTGCGCCCTCCGCACGCGCTGGCTCCACGGGGCCCCCCGGCACCAGCCAGAGCTCTCTCAGCCAAACACGCACGGCCTCCCTTCCAACACCACACACGCTCACACACCCTCCCCTGCACACACGCACACAGACACATGCTCCCAGACACCACTCACACCCATAGCTGCTCACACTCGTGCTTACATGCATGTGCCTACACACACTTGTACACGCGCCCTCGTATACACACATACCCACGCTCTCACACCTGCAGACACACAGACACATAAAGCACCCACGTACCAACACACTATTCTCACACATGCATGCACATGCACGCACAAACACACCCACACGTGCACACTCACAACACATCACTCTCGCCCATGCACGCACAGATGCACACAGACACACTCACATGTATGCACACTCACACACACACGCTCAAGCACACACGATTCACACCCCTTGCCACGCCTGCCTTTGACTGCAGGGGAAGGAAGTCAGAAATGCCAGCAGAAGTCAGGGTCAGAGGCACACACCATCCCCTCCTCCCAGAGCTGCCCAGCTCGGGCAACACTGGTCTCTGGAAGCCCACATGTCTCATCCTCTGTTTCTCTTGCTGCCTCAGCTACCCCTTGGCTGGCCCCAAGACCCGGTTTCAGTGCCAGGTCCCCCCACCGCCATGGCCTGAAATTTTCCTCCCTCCCTTCCCCATTTCAGCCTTTTTATCCACCTCAGCATCTGCTATCTGGAGACCACAGGACTTGGGCATCAGCCAGCAAGCAGGAACTTTTCTATAACAACCGCACACATTTTCCCTCTGGCATCTCCAAGGAGCATCACTAACGGTCACCATCATGATCACACGGGTAGGATCCCCCCCACCACCACCACCCAGGCGTAGACATGGGGACAGAGACTTCCCAATGCCCCTCAAATCAGAGAGTATAAATGTTCACCCATTTGCTCTCCCATTAACTCTCAAGCAGTGCCTCAGAAAGATGTATTCTTTGAGGATTAAGGGCAATTGGGCTTTCTCTGCCTGCAGTGTCACCTGCCCATCACCAGGGGGCAACCCTGATTCACTTATTTGCGTTTAAATACTTCTTACCCAACCCCCAGTCCATAAAAACAACGAAGCTGGTGAGAATATAAACCAGAAAGGGGTGGGGGAGAGAGGGGGCTCGTGGGTGTGTGTGGGAGGGGGAGGGGTGTATATGTGGGTGTGTGTAGGAGGGTGGGGGTGTGTATGTGTGGGTGGTTGGGTGTGGGTGTGGATGCGTGGGTGTGTGTGGGAGGGTGGGGGTGTGTATGTGGGTGGGGGTGGGGGTGGGTGTGTGCAGAGCAAGATCAGTACAATATGGATAGGCTGGGAAAAGAGCCAAAGGGGAAGACAGATTGAATGAGATTTGGTATGATTACTAATATTGGGGTACACATTTGGTTCTAAGTTTCCTGTTGGCCATAGCAAAAATAGAACAACTCCCTAGGTCACCCACTTCTCCAGGGACAGGCCAGAATTTCATTTGGGAGACTGCTGGGAAATCCACTGCACCTTGGTTTAATCAGCTCCCCATACAGGGTTTTCCAGATCAACTCTGCTCGTGTGTTGGACCCAATATGCTGATCCTTCTTTAAATTTGTCATCTTTCCATTTTAGCCTTTAATTTAAAGTGATAGCTAAAAACTCTACCTCTAGAGCCAACTGTACTCCCACTAGGTCCACTCCCTGTCTTCCTTTCTCGATCCCACTCCACTCAGCTTTACATCGGCTACTTTCCCAAAATTCATCTTGTCAAGGTCACCAGCCACTTCCAGGTTGCCAAACCCAGGGGGCAGTTCTCGGTCTTCATCTTACCAGAGCTAACTACAGCCTTTGACCCAGGTAATCGTGCGCTGGTTTCTGAAACACTTTCTCCATTTGGCTTTGAAGACACAGCTTTCGAACTGGGCTCTATCTACTACTGCTCCTTCTCCTTCTGCTGTGCTGGTTCCTGCCTCTCTGCCTTACCTCCAAATGTCACAGTGCCCTCTTATGGTTCTGTCTTGGGACATCTCCTCTCTTCCATCCAGTCACTCCCTCAATCCAGTGTCAGAACTCAATGAATCATGTACTCCCTGATGACCACAACATGTATGTCTGTGGCCCTCATCTTTACAGATGTCAAACAGGCATCTCAAAGTTAACAAATCCAACCAGAACTCTTGATACCCTCACTGGACCTGCTCATTTCTGTTTCACATCTCAATAGATGACAGCACCGCTTGACTTGGGACAACTTTAGAGTTGTCTTTGACTCCTCTCTTCATTCACCCTTGACATCCAAGGTAACAGAAAATAATCCTGTGGCTCCAACTTCAAAGAATCTCTGGAATTGAACGCCTGCTCACATCTCGATTCCTTTTTCAGTCAGCTGAACAGATGCAAGAATTCCAGAGACAAAGCCTGCTGCCCCCTCTTACATAGTGCTTGACCTGGTTGGGCCTTGGGTTACTCGTCTGGAAAATGGAGACCACCATTACACCTCTCCTAGGGGATTAGATGGAATCACGCTCACGTGCATGAGCACTGCGCTTAGCTCGCTTACGGTGCATGTTCAAGAAATGAAAGCTATTGTTACCGATGATTATTTTCAGTTTACAGGTGAAAAAGCATGGAAGAGTCCATTAATTCCTTCACACTCTAGAGTAAAGGCTGAAGTCTGGATTCAAAGCAAGACATAGGAAATGCCAGGGCTCGCCCAAGCCCTTTACCATCCATCCCAAGATAAGAAAAAGGGGGTGATGGGCATTTCAGGCAGGTGGAATGCATCAGCAAAAGTGTGGGCAAGTAGGGTATTAGGGCATGTGATGATGTCAAATTTTAGCTACAGGTTGGAGAGTGAGCCTCGCTGGGCCATTTGGGCCTCAATTTAATGTCATGAGTGGGGTGACCGTCACATGCCAGGCTCCCTGTCCAGCAGAGGTGAGCCCTGGCTGGAGCACTGTTTACAGCTGCTGGGTGGCGGTGGTGATAACGCCCTTGGGGACTTTGCCCTCTTCTCTCCAATCGACGATCAGCCATTGGGGTAGTGGGTTAGGCATTGCCTAGAGGGAGATTAAGGAGCTCGAGTTACCAGGGAACTCAAGTGGGCCTGGCCCCGTCATCCTCACAGCAACCTCCCACGGCAGATTCTGTCATTATGCCCACTTGATGGAAGGGCAAAACAGGATCAGTCGGAGTTGGTGTGACTTGTCCAAACTCACACAGAGGCAGAAGGACCAGGATTTGAGCCCAAGTCCATCTGTCTCCAAGGCTGTGGAGAAAGGACCATGGGCTGACCTGAGTCAAAGACACTCGAGTCCCTACTCTGCCATCGACTAGCTTGGTGACCTAGGGCAAGTTACTTCACCTCTTGAGACTCATTTTCCCTGTCTGTAGAATGGTCTCTCCATCCTTCCACTTGAATAGGTGTCTTCTGGAGCTAAGGTTGAGTGGTGTGTCCACGGCCCTCCCAGAGAGCCTCCCTCCCCCCAGGTGCCTGCCACACAGTATCTCTTCCTATGTAGAGGAGGCTCTGGGACTCCCTGCCCTTATCACCCCAGCCCCCTTCCTGGGAATGGGCTTGGGGCTTGTCAAAGAGCCATCCAGCTGTCAACCCCACCCCAGCTGGCCAGTTAATGAGTGATCAGGGCACTGGAGCCTGGCCTATAAAGAGCTCCTCATGAGGGAAGTGGATGGGAGTTGGTGGACAGCGGCAGTAGGATACAGACGGAGCAAGATGCACGGCAGCCTGGTGTCAGGGCTCCTGTCCTCGGTGGTCCTCCTCCTGCTGCTGCAGGACACACACTCAGTCTACATTCAGGTGAGTCCCTCCGGCCACGAGCCCTTTGCCTGAAGGTCCCCGGCGGGGGAGAGGCTGGGATGGAGAGGGAACGCTAGGAAATTCATGGGATACAGGGGAGCAAGTGCCCAGGGCTCACCCCAACACCTAATCACAACCCGGGGACCAAGACAGCTGGTGGGTGGGGGCAGCCAGCGTGCCAATGGCAATGACGATGGTGATGATAGCAATAATAAACCTCTGCTAGTCAGCACTGCCCTCTCAGAAGGCAGGTCCTGGTCAGAGGTCAGAAGCTGGAACAAGACGTGGTCCCTGCCCTTAAGGAGCCCCGGAGGAGAGGGGTCTTCCCCCAGCTCTCTACATTCACCCACATACGGGTGGATGGGGGATAGTCACCAGAAAGTTTCCCTGGCAGGTAACTGAGCTGACCTTGCAGGCTGAGCAGGAGGCAGCCAGGCACAGAGGATGTGGACTGCTCGGGCAGAGGGCACAGTCTACACAAAGGCTCAGAGTGAAGACGGCAGGGGGCCCGGGCTCCTTCCAGGGCCTGCCTGTGGGGTGGCAGGATGCCACTGGCCAGCAAGGATGGGGAAGTCTGTGGCCCCGAGTGTCCGTCACATTTCTGATTCTTGGTGGGGCCTCCTTGTCAGGGGTGGAGGAGAGGCAGCTTCCCCCTGCAGCCCTGGCCTTGGAACCAGCCAGCTTGGGGGTGGTCATTTTGCCATGTCCAGTTCAGGGGTGATCACCCAGTTACCGAGTGTGGCCCCGGTGCCAGGCACTAGGGAGGCTCATTCGTCAGATGAGACTCCGAGTGCGGAAGATACAGGCGGCCAATTGCGAAGAGTTGGGATTTGAACTGGGGTTCACCGGTCTCCAAAGCTCATACCTTGAATCACTTGCTCCCCAGCCTCGCTGCAACCTCATATACAGTTACTGGGGGCCTGTGGCACCAGCTCCCCCCTCCCAGGCTGTCCCCCCTCCCAGGACCCTCCGTGAGAACAGGGAAGGCTCTGCGGAGCCTGAGGAGCTCTGGCGTCCTGCCCCAGGTTTTCATACCCTCTCATCTCCTGTCCCCTCCGGCCCCCTAGCACCAAGGCTTCCAGGTCCAGCTGGAATCAGTGAAGAAGCTGAGTGACCTGGAAGGGCAGTGGGGGCCCAACCCCCGCCTCCAGACCCAGAGCTTCGTGCCCTCCATGTGTCACCACCCGGCCCTGCCGCTGGACCTCCAGCCGGTCTGCGCATCCAAGGAAGCTGCCAGCGTCTTCCAGGCCTTGAGTGAGTTCCTGCCCCTCGCTCGCTCTCCTCCCCACCCCCCAGCTCTGCCACTTCATGTTCCTTCTAGTAAGCACCCAGTGGCTGGGACAGGGAGAGTCAAGAAGCTTAGCCTCTGGCCTTCACTGTCTGGGCACTGCAAGTCAGGCACGCCAGGACCCCCTCGGTCCCTGGCACCCCAGACCGTTGATCATCCTAGCGGACTTCACAGATGGGAGGGAAGGGGGCTCTGGGCCAGGGCCCCATAAGCAAGGACTGCAATACGGGGGGCATGGGGGAAGCACAGGGGCCTGAGGAGAGATGGCTCACGTCTGGGGTGGCATAAGGGGTCTGAAAGAGTTCCCAGAGGAGGTGACATCTAAGCCGAAACATGAGGGAGGAAGCAGAGCTGGCCAGCAAATGTGGCACCCTCGAAGTGCCCGGCCCCCTGTCCCCCCGAGAGAGCCAACAGGAATACCCCCAGCCCCCAGGGTGTAAGGGGCTGGCCCAGGCACAGAGAGGCAGGGGGGCCTGGGACTCGCCCCCGAGCTGCCCTCTGCTCCTGAAGCGTCAGGTTCCTGACCTGTGAGAGAGATGCTGGTGCTAGACCTCCCCGACCCACCCAGCCCCTGGAGATGCAGCTCCCCAGCGCCCCAGTGCCTCACGGTCAGCTGCTGACCGGATTTCTCCCCTGCCCAGAGAGCATCGCTAAGGACGACTGCGAGCTGTGTGTGAATGTCGCCTGCACCGGCTGCCTCTGAGGCGAATGGCTGCCCTGAGCCCACCCGGACACCGCCCCCAGCCCGCTACCTTCCCAGCCCGCACCAGCCCCCCACTGCCCCGTCCGAGCCCCAGTGGGGCCCCTGAGCGCATCAGCACCACTGGCCAGAGGCCCGAGCGGCTGGACGTGGCACGAAGCGGTTGGACACATGGTTGGAGGGGAGTTTGGTCCCTGAGGTAGCCCTGCTGCCCAATAAAGATGCCCCACCCACCTACACCCAGAGTCTGGAGACCCTATGTCCATCCCCGGGAGCCCCGGGCAGAGGTGCTTGGGAAGCTGAGTACGTGAGGAGAAAGGCTGATCTCAGGATACAGTCAGGAGCTTCCCAGTTTCCAGCACCTGCGGAGGTGGATCAGCAAGCCCTATTTCACATAGGAGGAGGGAGGCTGACGGGGGCCGTGGAATGAGTCCCCCCAAATCACAGAGCTAAGACGCTGCAGAGTGACCGGACCCATCTGACCCCGCAAGCCGAGCTCCAGGCCTGGCCCAGCGACAGAGCCAGGGCTGCTATGCTTCCCCTGGGAGGTGGGGCTGCCCTGGTGGGTGCGCGCAGGGAAGAACAACTTGGTGCCCCCTCCCAGGCTGGGTGTCTGGGCTGCCTCTGCCCCAGGGCTCCTGAGAAGATGGGCCTGGGCCTTCACCCTCACCTTCCTGAGCTCCTCCCTTCTCAGGCTCCCCAGGACCATCAGGCCAGCTCCAGACCTTTCTTCCCTCTCTCTGTCCTGGCAGCCCTGAGGAATAATAATCATCATCATCAATGTCAGGGCGCCTGGGTGGCTCAGTCGGTTAAGCATCCACCTTCGGCTCGGGTCATTATCCCGGGGTCCTGGGATCGAGTCCTGTGTCGTGCTCCCCTCTTAGCAGGGAGGCTGCTTCTCTCTATCCCACTCCCCCTCCATGTGTGCTCTCACTCGCTATCTCTCCCTCTCACAAATAAATAAAATTTTTTAAAAATTAAAAGTCTATTGAGGATTTGCTGTACCCTAGGCCCTATTCTAAACTCACTGAGTCCTCGAAACGGTCTAATGAAGCAGGTACTGTTCAATAACCACTCCACTTTACAAATATAGAGACCCAGGTACAGAGAGAGAACGAGCTAGTCCAGGATCACAGCCTCAGCAAAGTGGCAAAATGGGCTTCTTCCCAGGCAGGCTGGGCCAGAGCCCACACTCTGAACCACCATGTTACGGCCTCCCTGTGGCTCGGGCCACACCGATGATGCCTACCAGAGGGGCCCCTGCGTTCTCACAGCTGCGGCCAACTCCTGGGCCTTTCCACAGGCTGGGTTCCTCCACAGCCGCTGTCCCGGGCAGCCAGAGAGGAGTGCCAGGCACCAAGGGGCCGTGGTCTCTGAACTCTGCTCACCCAGGGCCAAGGCCATGGCGAACTCCCCCAGACCAGCCGCTGCTCCCGGCTGCTCAGTTCTGCTCATGAGCTCTGCGGCCTCCCACTCCGACAGGCCACAGACCCCAGAGCTCTAGTTCCTTCCTCTCCCTCGCCCCGCAGACAAGGCTGGCTGGGGCCTTCGTAGTCCTCCTGTGTCTCTCGGGCCAGCATGCCAGAGGAACACAGCGGCACGGCCCCAACGGGGCCCCTTAGCCTTCTGTGGGTCCCCAGTGCCCCCTCTCATGTCTAAACTGAGCCCCAGCACCAGCTGGCCTCGGCTCCCACTGCTCCCCTCAGCTACGCTGGGTCCCCACCTGCCTGGGGATGAGGCAGGGAAGAGAACTGTCTCTGACGGAGCACGAGCGCCAGGCTCAGGCTGAGCCACCTACACAGAAATAGTAAGAGCAGCAGCAGCAGAGGGCCCGCTATGGGCTCGGCAGGGCTCTACGAGCTTTTCCTGTGTCACCTCATTTAATCCTCGCTCAACCCTACAAAGTAGGGATTCTCGTCATCCCCGTTTTACAGACAAGGAGCCTGAGGGGAGAAGAGGCTGAGTGCTGGCCACAGTCACCCAGCTGGTAATAGGCAGAGCCAGGATCCAGCCCCAGAGTCCAGGTCCGGAGTGGGAGCACTGAATGACCCTGTCCTACCCTGCATCTCATCAAATCCCCCTGCAACCCTGGGCGGTGGGGTCTGTTAGCATCCTCATTTTCGGATGAGGAAACCAAGTCTCAGAGAGGAGTTCACAACTTGTAAGTAACATGGGCAGGTTCAAACCCAGCCCTGTGTGCCTCCCGGGACCCACCCTGTCCAGACCGGACGCTGCCAGGGCCTCGGACCTTCGCCATTCGGCACCTACTCCACCTTCTGGAATGCCCTCTGCCTCCCTACCTCCAGATTGGTTTTGATTATCCATCCACCCCAGTGCACATCCTAAGCGCTAATGCAAATGCCTGCCTCCCCTCCCCCTTCACAAAGCCTCTTCTGACCTGGCCCTAAAGACGCCTCACCCTCTGAATTCTGCAGCCCAAGGAATTCTGCCTGAATCACCCTGTGGCACTTCCCCTCCAGCCAACTCCCCAAGAAATGCCCTGGTCACCTCCTCTTTTCACATTCCCTCTAACTTTGCTAACAAGCAGCCCTCCGTGCCTCAACTCCTTGCCCCTGTCTGAACCGGTCTCAGCTTGACCCTCTTTCCCCATCTTCTGGTTTGTTTTTACCATTTATCGATTCCCTGCGCATGGCCTGAACTTGATGTACGTGACATACACCTTTGCAGCATTATTTCACCCAGCCTGGGAGGCAGCTACTATCACAGTCCCAGTTTTACAGGGGAGGACACTGAGGCACAGAGAGGCAAAGTATGTGCAAGACCTGAGGCCAGCCTGTGTAGCTCTGGCTTTCCCCTGCCCTGGGTCGTATCCTCGGGCATCATCGGTGTGGTGGGTTTTACCCGCTCCGGGGGTCACAGAAGCCAGTACAGCCCAGCGGGGCTGATCAAAGTGTCCACAGAGCACCGGGGACAGAGTGGGAGCACAAAGACTCCTGTGAGGGAGAGGCTTCTGAGAGGCCATGGGAGCACAGCCTTGGAGCCTCAGTGGGAGTTTCTCAGGCCAGGAGTGTGGGAAGAGGAGCAGAGCACAGGTGAGGGGAGCTGAGGAAGTGGTGAGGGTTGGGGCTGGAGGTGTGGTCCCCTCGGGTAGGGCAGGAGGCTACACTGCGCTGGGGGTGGAGGGGCAGGGCCTGAGGGACCTTGAACGCTCCAGAGCCCCGGGCCAGTCTCATGGACGCCCCAGCTATGTGTCCACCGCCCCAGCTATGTGAGGGACACCAAGCCAGCACAGACTCCTGTGCTCACTCATGGCGTAGCGGCTCTGGGGTTCTCCCCCTCCCGCGGAGCTGGGAAGGAAAAGCAGAGGTTTTCCTCCCCCACGGGCGGTCTGGAGGTTGAGGTCCCCTGGGTGCCTGTGTGGGGTGGCAGCCCCAGGGGCATGGCAGCTTAACAGCGGGAGGCACACACTAAACTCCGAGCTTGCCGGGGCAGGGCAGGCACCCTTATAAAGCTGGCTGACCAGTCCACTGACAAAGGAAGGCAGGAAGGAAGCGACATCAGAAGGACTCTGGCAACTGGTTTATTAGCTGAGGGCTGCAGTGGATCTTGGGAAGCGCCGGCAACTCGGATGGGTCAGGGGCTAGGCCGCCCCAGGCCACCCCCTCCTCACTCCTCCCCTGGAGGCCCGGCCGAGCATCCCGCGGGGGAGGGCCAGGAGGCCTGTGTCCTAGCATCCGGCACAGGCCGCGAAGGCACAGATCTCGCACGATCCCGGGTCCTCGGCGATGGCCTCTGCGCAGGAGAGATGGGGTGCCGGGAGAGTCAGAGCCCCCCGCTTCCCTTGCACCAGAGCTTGGACGTCTGCCACTGAGGCCCCAGGAGAAACCCGGGCCTGTCCCCTCCCACCCGCTGGTCTTTCCGCTCCCAACAGGTACCGCTCAAGCCAGCCAGTCAGGGTGGGGATTCCACCCAGAAGGAGCAATAGCAAGGCCAGACGGCCCGCGGCACAGAACTACCAACCAGTCATCGGTCAGAGCGAGGATCTTTCAAAAGTAACCTTCGCCAATTACAACTTAGAACTACTTCCAGCAGGTTCAGCAGACCCACCAATCAGAGCACACCTCCCCCTCCTGGGCCACCAATCAGGGAGTTCCCAGGCCCCACCCTCCAGAGAGGAAGCTACTCACCCAGCCTATGGAGGATCTCCTGGGCATTGGTCTCCTTGCAGAGAGGCTTGAGTTCTTCCGGAAACTTCAGGTGGCTGCAGACTTGGGGAACCACGGGCCCACCACTCTTCCTGCTCTTCCAGGTGCTGGGCTCCTGGAGCTCCCGGAGGTCCTTGAGCTTCTTCACCGACTCCAGGGGAAAAGAGAACTTTCCATCCTGAGAGAGACATGTCCAGCGTGTGAGGTCAGGCTGCAGCCTGCCCCAGGATGTCCGCATGATTCCCAAGACCCAGGTCTGGTCTCTGGCTGGGGACAGGACTGAGGAGTAAGGTCTAGAATTGAATCTAGCTCCTTCACTTCCCAGCCACGTGCCTGGGGCCAGTTACAGAACTTCTCTGAGGCTGTTTTCCAGCTCCGAAAAATGGGATTAATAATCTTATTTTCGCAGGGTGAGCGTGGGGCCTCACTTGAGGAGCCTGGCTCATGGCAAGCACTCAGTAAATTGGCTAATCACCTCCCTTTCCCAAATGGTTCTCTTCTCTCCTCCAAGTTTGAAGGGGAAGGGGTATGAGGCAGGGCTGAGGGACGGGTTCCTGAGAAAGTGCCACACCTGAGACACAGCCCTGCTCCAGCCCTAAGGAGGGGGTGCTCTCTCCGGGGACAGGCCCTGGGCACTGGGGGCAGAGAGCTGGGCCAAGGGAGGGACAGGATTTACCTGCACGGTGACTCCCCCTGCCAGGACAGCCCAGGTCCCAAGGAGGCACAGTGCAGAGAGCAGGAAGGTATTCATGGCAGCAGTGCCCAAGAGGGAGGAACGGTTGGTTCTGGATGCCAGAGGGAACAGTGGGATTTTTAACGAGGGCAGGGTTACTGAGTAACCAGGAAGCCCTATCAGCATCTCATCAGCTAGCCTGTCAACTCAGGGCTAGCCTGTCAACTCAGGCCTAATCAGATAAGGCTCGAGACAGCCCTGGAAGATAAGAGATCAGTCCCGGGAGCCTTGCAGAGAGCCTCTGCCCCTCCCTGGGCTCCCAGTTTAACCCCCAGCCAGGCTAGGTCCTGTGTCCGTTCACCAACCACACACACTCACTGACACCTGCTCTAGGCCAGGCCCTGAGCCGGGGTGGGGCTGCAGACCCAGCCCAGCCCTTAAGGAGGGAGGCCCAGACTGGGGCAATGCAGGGTGATTAGGGGAGTGGGGGTTGGGGCGTGGATGGAGGAGCCATCCCACCCAGCCCAGGGGCAGGGAGTTCAGGAGGATTTCCCAAAGGAGGTTGTGTCAGCACTGGAGTTCTGGAGAATGGGTGGAATTTTCTTAGAAAAGGGGCCAGGGAGAGGCCCTTTCTTGCAAAGGACGCTACATGTGGAACAAGCAGGAGGTAAACAGGCTTGGAATATTCAGGGAATGTGAGTAGTTCAGCCTAGGGGAAGAGGGGGTTACAAGGGGGCTTCAAATGCTGAGAGATGAGTTGTAGACCAAGGTAGGTACTAGGTTTGGCCACTATGACTTTAAGGAAGGACTCAGCTCTGCTGTCCCACGGGCCTGGGTTCAAGTGCTACCGGTACTGCATGATTTTAATGTGTGTGAACTTGGGCAAATTGTTTTTCCTCTCCGAGCCTCAGCACCCCTTGTGGATCAATACTACTAATAACACCTACCTTGTGGGCTTATTCTGAGGATTAGAGATGTTGTAAAGATGCTTAGCTCAGTGCCTGGCACACAGAAGGCACTCAGTGAAAGTCATCCCATTATTATTATTTTTATCAATAGCAGCAGCAGCTTCTGGTCCCCGTTGACCCCTCTGGTGACCACTTGCCCATCTGAGCCACAGCCTGTCCTCATCTTGTGCTGACCTTGCCTGTCCTTCAGCGTCAGATCGTCCTAGAATGAACTCCTCCCCTCTCCCTCCCGATACCCTAGCCCCTGCTCCCCTAACCTCCTCAGTCCTGTTTCTGCCTTCCAACTACCACCCCCCATGTGTGCCCTCCCCTTCTGCTTCCCTTCTTCCCCAACTAGACCAGCCTAATATCCCCATCCTGACCTTTCTCACCAGGCTCACCTCCCCCGCCCTTCCTGAACAGGCTTCCCTGCCTTTGAAAATGCTGTTTTATCTGCCTGGAAGGCTTTTCGAAAACATCCTTGTCACTAGGTAAACTCCTACTCAAACTTGAAGGCCCAGACCAAATAACCTCCACTGCATCCCCGGCAAAATAACCTAAGTTCCCGTAGAACCAGATACATTCCGCACCCCCCCCCCCGGGGGTCTTGTTGGGTAGGATTACTGGGGTGTGTGTTTCTGTCCCTCTAGACTCGGACCCTCTGGCTCAGTGGGTGTTCCTCGTGTTCTCTTGTGAGCAAGGCCCCCAGGACACAGAAGAAGGAAAGCCCTCAGCGCTCCATTGTTCTAATCTACAAACAAGCCAGGCCAGAAGCCAGGACAGCCTTCAGGAAGGCTACAGGGGCAGGAATCCCTGGATGGAGAGAGTAAGTATTGAAGAAGGGACTGGAGGAGCAGAACCTGACAGGCAGGAAACTACAAAGGGGTCTGGCCCAAGGCGGGGGATGGGGGAGGTGGGGGGGCAGGAAACACTTGCCCTACCTGCCCTCCCAGGCCAGCTGGACTGGGCTTCCCTCCCCTCTCCCGCATGTGTGTGTCTGTGTGTCTGTGTGTGTGTGTGTCTGTGTGTCTGTGTGTGTGTGTGTCTGTGTGTGCACACATGCTGAAGGATGTGTATGCACGTCCAGTCCAGCCACATGGTGGCCTCTGCTCACTGAGCCCTGGGTGGGAGTGTGCACCGGAGTGGGTCGGGGGAACGGGATAGGCTCTGGGAGGGTTATGGATGGAGTCCAGGTTGAAGGTGAGGCTAGACATTTTGCATAAGGGTAGAGTTTGCTGTGATTGGGATGGAGGTGAACACCAGGTACAGATCTGGAGTACAGTTGAGGTTGGCCCTGGCACTGAACTGGGGTGGGTGGAGTCGAGCTGGGTTAGGGTGAAAGCTGGTTAGGGTCAGCCTGAGGTTCTGGGTTGGGGTTGGGGCTAAGCTGGGGCAAGATGGAGGAGCGGTTAGTGGTAGGAGTTCAAAACAGGACTCAAAGTGGGGTTTGAGTCTGGGGCAGGGTTAGAATGGAGCTGAGGGCAGGAGGGGATGTCAGGGTTAGGTTTGGAATGGGGAGCCGCTGGGACTGGGTTGATGTTGGGATTGCAAATGATGTGGAGGCTGGTTAGGATTGGGTTCAGGATCAAGGTTGGATCAGTATGGGGCTCAAGCGAAATGAAATGTAGTTGAGCATCAAGGAGGGGGCTTGGGTGGGGCTGCTGTGCGCTGGAAGAGCCCTGTTTCTGGCTGGCTTTGGTTTTCAGTCTTTCCACTCCCCAGGTACAGAGGGACTGGAGGGGCTTTGGTTCCTAAAGCCTCCTTCTCCCCTAGCCTCCTAGCCAGGGCCTACCTGGTACAAGGTAGAACTGGAACGGGTTGGCGGGGGGGTGTTGCGGGAGTGATGTAGTTCATGCTGTGGGAAAGAGGAAATGGCTCCTAGGCCTCAGACCTTTGGGCTCTGCCCTACTAACCACTTCTGACGTCTGCCCTGGGAAATGGGAACCAACTCCCCTTCCCGTATCCTCACAGTTCCTGGCCCAGCCCCTGCCCAGGTATGAGTTCAGGCCCCCTCCTTGCGCTCCTGTGTTGAAGCGGCGGGGGCCCTTCCAGAACCCCAGGTCCACACCTAAGTCCTGAGACATTGGTCCCCAGGACCCTCACACCCCTCTTCATTCCTTATGGGCAGCAGGTGGGGCTGGGATTGCTGGGCTTCCCACATCCAAGGCCATCCCTTCTGGCAAGCTCTGGAGCCTTCCAGGCTGTGCCACCTCTTCGACCTGCTGCCCCACCTGAAAACCCACCAGCAGCAGCCCCAGACCTTCAGAAGAAAGCCCAGACTCCTTGGCCTGGCATTCAAGGCTCTTCGTGGTCAGCCCCTGCTCACCCTTCAAATCAGGATCCCCAAAGCGCCCCTAGGAGTGAATCAGGAAGAAGGGCCCGGATCTGCTGTAGGTGACAGAGCCCCAGCTTTGAAACGGGGCAGCCCTGGGTCAGAGTCCCGGCTCCTTCAGGGAACAGCTGTGTGGCCTTTCCCAGACTCCGTTTCTACATCTGAAAAAGGGAGACAAGAACTACATTGTGCATTTCAGATTGTCTAGAAAAGTTTCCTCCCTGACGCCCAGCTCCAGCAAGCCTGGCTTAAGACCCTCTCCACCTCCTCTGGGCTCCACCGACAAGTTCCCACTGGAAACCTTGCCAAACTGTCTTGCCCGCTTTCCTCTGAGTTCCTGAAAGGAGAGCCTGTGGCATTCTCCGTCGCGACCCCAGTACTCATACAGGCCCGGCACTTAGTGGGTGCCGCTGAGCCCTTAGGGCATCAGGAAGGTCGTGCTATTTGCAATAATCCTAACACTCAGTATGGATCGAGTGCTTTACAGTGTGGAAACCGGCCACCCCTCCCCAGCACCAGCAGCTGTCGCGGCGGGAGGGGGCTCAGGTCTCTCTGAAGATGCCTGATGCTATTCCTTTCGGCCCAGAAGTTAACTCTTGGGTTTGCGTGACCTCGGCATGGTTCCAGCATGCACGTTAAAGTTGTGTCCACCGCAGCCCCGTCCCCGCCAGGCCGGGCTCTGCTTCCCGGCGGGCCCGAGGCCCCAGCTGACCCCAGCAGGAAAGGCCCCGGTATGGAGCCCAGGTGGGAGTCTAGAGACTTCCATGCTGCCCTGTGTGACCTTGAGGAGGGAGGGTGTGGCTCACATCTCACAGCCTCCCCATCCTGCTCCCTCCCCATCCTGCTCGTAAACGTGTCCTGGAGGGTGTAACAAGCTCTGGTTCCTCTAAGAGCCCAGAACTACCTGAGGAAGACTTGCAGTGTGTGTGAATATGTAAGAAGTAACTGTAGAACCCCATTTTATCGATGGCTAAACTGAAGCTCAGAAGCCCAGAGAGCTTAAGAGACCATGACTTTCCCAAGGGCGCATAATACACAGGAGCCAGGTACAGTTGTATTGGTAGCGCACTGCCCAGGGCACCCAGCCAAGAGAGAGGATCGGTGTGGACGCAAGCCGTGTGGCTGCCTAGGCCTAGGGGAAGGCACAACTTTTCGCATTCACAGCCAGGTGCACTTGGCAGCAGCTGCAGTCTCAAAGCTGAAAATTCCAGAACAGAAGCCAGTTCTCACAAATTCCAAGGAAAGCCTTAAACAGCTACTTCGGTGCATACGTCCTGCAGTATCTTCCGGGCCCCAGACTCCCATCTTTAAGGAAGGGGAAGAAGAAAGGAGAGCTGCTGCGTCAGACTCTGTGAAGCGGGTCCATGATGCCCATTTTCAGAGGAGGAAACAGAGGCTCTCAGAAGAGAGTGCCCCATGTTACACAGAAAATGATTGCTGAGTTGGAATTTGAAGCCTATTGGCTTGACCCAAGTCCAGGCTGGGCTGGAGGGTGCCCTCCCCTCCCCTAGGCCCTGGGAGGCAGGCTCCTTCCTCCAGGCTCCAGGGGGCAGTTGGCTTTTCCTGTCACATCCCTGTGGCCTGGCCAAGATGAGGCCGTGGTGGCGCTCCGTCCACCAGCAGCTGCCTCCTGTTCCCCCCAGCCCTCGGTCTGCTCTGGGCGTCGGCCGCGGAGACCCCCTACCTCCCCGGAGACTGTCAGGAAGGGAAGAGACACGGCTGGAGCCCTGGCCCCATGGCCTGGAGGCCACAGGCTCGAGGGAGCCGACTGAGAGCCACCAGAGAGGTCCCATGGGGCCAGGTCTGAGAATGCTTGCCAGACGACGTGGTG